GTCGTATAGTTAAGGTGGCAAATAAACATACGGCCCACCTGATGTAAAGTGGTAACCGTCGCCTATAGACATGAGCAGTACCATGGACATAACAGAGTATACTGTTTCGCCCATGATACTCCCCATGCGTTGCAATTCCTGAAGACTAAGGTGTCATTCCTCTGTACCCAGTAAATTCACGCCATATATCACCCTTCAAACCGAAACACAGCCATGTAAACACAACTGCTTCACGGTAGAAACACGAATGGGACAGAGGTACCCAAGCAATCGACTTTTGTACAAAGTCTCCCTCTGGTTTTATAACTTATTATTACAGCCAATTTGCTCCCAATAATCAACGTACGGAACCCTCTCCACGCGAGTTTAACTCGCACTTATCTGGTTTTCATTTTGAACTATTGATTCCATAAAGTAATCAATCGCATAGCGTGACGGTAATAAGGGCAAACTCATTACGTACAGTGATCAATTCTATAGAAGGCTTTTATGTTCCATAACGATGAATTTTTCATTTTTTCATTATGATCAAAACACACTTAGCACCTGAATAGGGGTTTTATGTTTCATTCGTTATAGAATTATGACCCCGATGACCTCGGCTCCGGGGTTGGAAATCTGTTTGTTTATAATCCAATTATCCGCATGTGCAGAAAATATAACAATGTATGCAAGGAGCTTGATATCTTCCAACAATCCTTGCAATGTTACATTAAGGCTGCCAATTTGTTACTTTAAATTTATAGCCGTCATTCTTTTAATGTATATAATATCGAATGTTATGCAGAGCAGTTATTGGAGTGCAAATTTAATGTCGTTTCATGTAATATTTATTTTATAAATGTATTAATTTGTAATCTGTTGCCTTGCTATAAATAAATAAATAAATAAACTAACCAAAAGCTCGTACATTGATAAATCTTAGATTTATTAGATTAGGAATATAAATATATATGTATATATATTTCGCGAATTCGCTAGCCGTGTAGTGTAGGTCCGGGCATAGAGTGGGCCAACCCTTTCTTTCCCATGGGTGTCGTAAGAGGCGACTAAGAGAAGGCGAGAGATCGGCAGCAGCGTCCCTCTTAAAACACCTCCAAAGCCTGACTGCGGTTGCCAATTCGCCTGCCAAGCGTGGCAACTACTGGCAAAACCCCCAACGGGGAGGCTTGTTCAGCAGTGTATAGTTAAAGGCTAGTATGATGATGGTGATATATAAATCGCCGTGTGGACCCGGCATACAAAAAGGCATGCCTTTCGTTCCCGTGAGTGTTGTAAGAGGCGACTAAAGGAATTTTATGGTCGAAAGATGAGCAACAGTGTTTCTTTTAAACATCACCAAAACCTAATATAATGAAGTAACATATAATGATACAAACTACATATTATTATAAAAAAAATAATCAATGCCAGAAGTGTTTTCCAACTGCTGCATTTTTTCCGTTGTATCTTTAAAAAATCAACATTGCTATCACTCAACTATTTAAAATTGGGGAGAAGAATTGTTAGTAACAAGACTTACGGCTTCATTGCAAGTTTTTTTATACAACTTAGAATGGCACACAAGCTGACGGCCCACCTGATGGAAAGTGGTTACCGTCGCCTATAGACATGAGCAGTACCGTGGACATAAAAGAGTACACTGTTTCGCCCATGATACCCCCCATGCATTGCCATTCCTGAGAACTCAGGTGTTATTCCTTTGTACCCAGTAAATTCACGCCATATCTCACCCTTCAAACCGAAACACCGGTACTGCTCATGTTTATAGGCGACGGTTACCACTTTCCATCAGGTGGGCCGTCAGCTTGTTTGTCATTTTAAGATGTATAAAAAAAAACTCCCTCATCTATGGAGGAAGCCTATGTTTGGCAGTGAATGGTTGTATCATCATCTAGTTTTATAAAAAAAAAACAGTTGAGACTATTGAAGGAAATAATATTGCCAAATATAATACAGATTCAGAGACAAAGGCATCGATCTTACAATGTCTCTCATTTTACATGAAGGGCTAAAAATATTTAATAAACATATATTTAATTGAAAAGTTAGATGATTACTGCCAAGTTTCACAACATCCGAGCACCGCACAAATATTTTAATTTCAATTAGAAACTGTAAATGGTTAAATCATTTCCCACTGTTGGTATCTTCATAATTGAGAGACGTGACAGCCTTTCTAAGAAGTCTTAAATTAGATTAAATTTTTTACGCAACTTAGAAGAGCAAAGCTGACGGTCCACCTAATGGAAAATGGTAACCATGGTAATAAACAATATGAATATAAATAACATCATGGATATTACAGCGTTGGGCATCCATGTATAATTCCTATTGAATAGGCAGTTTTCAAATTGCAAGATACGTAAGCATAACACCATATGCCTCAGCAATGCCAAGTTTCCTTATTTTTTATTGTTTACTTTTGTTTTATATATTACTTGTGGGCTCCTCCGTTCTCTAATCCCTCCTTCCCCCGTCTATATATAGATCTTATAAAGTAACTATTATCTCATGCTCTTACTATTTTTCATAAGACCTGACTGACTACAAGGAGAAAGGGGATTGTTAATAATGCGGACTGTCAATCTCATTGCTAGCAATATATCTTGTCGGGTGTAACGTGTAACGTGGAGGTCTTCCACGTTGTCCCTCCTGGAAACCATCGTGCTAAGTTTCAACTATGATCATCGCAATGGGCTAACCGACCTGTTTTTTTCATTCTCACCTGTCATTCCTTACTGGTGCCCCGCCATACACCATTAGCGCAGGCGTTACTACTCCATTATCATCCATTAACAATTTTAAAATTCTAAATTTACAACATAATCGCGTGACTTAATTGAAAATTAAGATTGTGCTTCTCAAAAAACGACTTCAGTTGTGGGCTTTAGTTATTTTTATTTAAAAACTACTGAATTTATTTTGATAAAATTTCTACGGAATTAATCTATAAGTCTATCATATTATGTAAAAAAAGAATTTTCCATATCGATTTACAACTGACGGAGTTATGAAGAAACAAAAATACAACAAAATTGTTAGAACCTCTTTCTTTTTGTAGTCGATTGAAAAGTGTCATTTTCATCGAAAAATTTCATAATAATTATAATTTATTTGCTCGAAATGTGGTACAATATGTTCTTAAATGATAATGAGCTACACATTTCGCCTTTTTTTTTTATTCAACTTAGAATGGCAAACAAGCTGACGGCCCACCTGATGGATAGTGGTAACCGTCGCCTATAGACATGAGCAGTACCATGGACATAACAGAGTGTACTGTTTCGCCCATGATACCTCCCATGCGTTGCCATTCCTGAGGACTCAGGTGTTATTCCTCTGTACCCAGTAAATTCACGCCATATCCCACCCTTCAAACCGAAACACAGCCATGCAAACACTACTGCTTCACGGTTGAAACACGAATGAGACAGAGGTACTCAAGCAATCGACTTTTATACAAACTCTCCCTCTGGTAAATTATCTAAAGGCATGCAAATTTTATCTCAGCACACGCTAGTTACTTGTCTTACATATATTAATCGTCTAACAGGAGTCAATTACCGTCGTTTTGAAAAGTAACAATAAAAAAAAAATTCCCGTGAAACATAATTGGCCAGGTATGACTGATGATGAATACGCACGTCGATAGTCTGTATTCCGTCAGCTGCCAATCATTTGTATATCATGATTAATCACTAATGGATTTGGCTGACACAAACCCACGTGGACAATCTGTCTCACTCATCTATTAATTCAGTCCAACCCCCAACTACTGCCGATACTGTTTTCCGGTTTGAACGTCAATTGTGGCAGTGAAATTACTGTATGCGATGCAACATTTTTGATTAAACTGTTATACTCGTAATATGCACTTTTTTGTATGTTCTTTTTTTTTGTGTAAGTTTTTTATTATAATTTTTAATCATTTTTCTAACATCTATGTGTTGTGTTGTCGACATATTTTGTAAAATAAACTTTCTTTCGTTCTTTTGTTCTACAGTATTACGAGAAAGTCTGTTTTAAATTAAAAATATGTTTCACCGAAATAATACTATTTACTGCATTTTAAACCAAAAAGGCCCGTCCCTGATCTTACTATCTTATTAATATATTACTTGTATTATAAATGGAAAGTTTATAATGATTTTAGGATATTTGTTACTCTCTAACGCAATAACTACTGAATTAATTTAAATGAAATTTTCTACACGGAGAGAAAAATTGTTATATCTTATCTCATAGGATACTTTATGTACTAATGCACACGGGAGAAACCGCGAAATACAGCTAGTCCCCTTCCCAGGCTATTTCTCTACTCAATTTTCTCATTGTTCAATAACCATTGATATTTTTAATGACTAATCAGATAGGTTTTCTAAATGTTGTTCAAAATTTTTAAGTTTGCAAAACGAACCATAACTCACTGCAAATTTTGGGAAAGTGTAAACAAACTGAGTGGCTTTTTTTCTTAAATAAAAAAATAAATAGTCTAGTATACTTGTAGTTTAAGGAACACTAAAACTTTTAGAAATAAAAATTAGGCTCAAAATTCTATTCTCCACTGCAATTTTATTTATCCATTAATTTTTCCATTCTGATTCTTCGTAAATTATTTATATAGATGAGCATCGAGCTTTAAAAACGAGTCAACTTTTTCTCAGCTAATTGTTAAATTAGCTGACTCACTTTTTGTCAGTGTTTTATATACTTACGCATACAATATATCTTGTCGTATTATTTAATAAATAAAACGAACGTTTACGCATTATTATTTTTTTAAATAGATGCAAAAATGATAAAACAAAATAAATATAGTTATAAAGGAAACACTATACTATAACTACTTATCATGCAAAATTGTATGAAAATGTTGACCCATTTTTCTCGAAGCATTTCTGTGGAGACACTCTACCTATATAATCTAAGATGCATTATTACAATTAGATCTTTTATTCGTAGAGTAGAGTATTAATTATTTTTTTCTTTCCTTAACAGGTTGCACGTTCCCGGTACGGTGGCATGGGCGGTGGTTTCAATCTGGGGTCATCCAGCCCATCCTCATCGAAGGTGACCGCCTCTCCAACAAGGGCAAATGTGTCTCTTCGGAAGGAGACAAATTCGTTATTGCTGACGAGTACGTATTATTTTTTTTATAGGTACCGACATAGAATAGGCCACCCCTTCCTTTCCCGTGGATGTCGTAGGTGGCGACTAAGGGAACTTATGAATGTAGGAGTGAGCAGCAGAGTCCCTCTTAAAACATCAACAAAAGCCAAACTGCGGTTGCCAACCATCCTGCCAAGCGTGGCAACTACTGGCAAAACCCTCCTTATGGAGGAGACAATGTTCGGTAATGGACGATTAACGGCTGATACTACAATGAATTATTTTATTTTTTACCGATTTAAAAATGAATGTTTCTCAATTCTATTTTTAAAGTAATGACCATTTCTCCCGTTGCCCAATTATATATTTATTCTCAATTCGACTATTTTTAAACTTTTTCGGATTGATTTGATAATGATGATTTATGATTTTTGGATTGTAACTGGATTTTTTATATGTATGTATATTACGCAGTATCATCGTCAACTCTGAACCGATTTTCATTAGTCTTTGCCCTTGATAGTGTTTACTCGTTGTGGATTTTTTATTTATGAACATTTTTTTATTATATTATTAACAATCCTCTTTCTCTCTCTCTCTCTCTCTCTCATAATAGGATATTAATTATGTTATTCTAATGGTTATTTTTTTTTTTTCAGAAAAGGATGTTACCGATGTGTTGTGATGCATGAAAAACATCAAAATGTTCTTCAATATAAGGAAAGTAAGTTATTACAAACTCTTACTCTTTTATAGTTTTTTTTTTATTTTTCTTCCTTTTTTCTTTTCGCATTTTTTGTTTTTTTTGTATTTTACATACCTAGTTATGACGAAATATGTAACCTATACGTATTTCGGTAAATAAAGAAACACTATATATATATATATATATATATATATATATATATATATATATATATATATATATATTTAAAATTCAAAATTACAGAAGGATATGTTATACTACCATTGGGTAACCACGTAAGTTTATATTAATGCTAAATACATTATGTGTTATATTTTAACATTTATTAACATTAAGTAAGAAATATTTATATAAATGTGCCGTTACATTTATTGTCTTGCTTATTCCCTATATTGTATAATGCAAATAAATTATACTATACTCATTTACTATTAGTATAATATTATATTAGTATAGTATACTTATTTATTCATTCATTTCTTTTGCAAATGAATTATTGACATTATAATGTCACTGGTAGAACACTCTGAAAATGATGCTTACTGTTTCGATATCAGCCTGTATAAGTAAAAAAAAAATTACCACTTATCACCTTCCAGCATACTGCTACCGTCGAGACGCACTACCACACCTATGTACACTGATCACCGGCGATGCTCTCCTGTACTCCATGTTCAGAGAAAATGCGGATCCCGTCGACTGCCCTCTGAGGGGTCCGTTCTCGTTCACTTATAACAGGTAATGTAATAAATAATAAAAATATGACGTCTTTCCCTCGTCCTATAACCTCGGATCCTTCAAGCGTAGTGTGAAAAAGCGTTTAGTGAGCCGACATAGTGCAGCCAACCGTTGAAAATAAGTCATTCTCTTTTCGGTTGACCTTTTTCATGGACCATATTGTCTCTGTTTTCATTGAGGACCATATGGTCACAGAGGGAGACTTTGTACAAAAGTCGATTGCTTGGGTACCTCTGTTCCATTCGTGTTTCAACCGTGAAGCAGTCGTATTTGCATGGCTGTGTTTCGGTTTGAAGGGTGGGATATGGCGTGAATTTACTGGGTACAGAGGAAAAACACCTGAGTCCTCAGGAATGGCAACGATAGGGGGTATCATGGGCGAAACAGTATGTGGGTGTACTGTTATGTCCATGGTACTGTTCATGTCTATAGGCGACGGTTACCACTTTCCATCAGGTGGGCCGTCAGCTTGTTTGCCATTCTAAATTATATATAAAAAAAATGTCACGCTGGGTATAATACTATGATCAACCACAAATCAATTGATATATTCAACTTGAAGCTGTCATCATTCAGAAGGTGCATGATTCGTTTGACATGAATTTGTACTTTTTTTTGTGGCCATTTGGAGAGGATGGATAAAAGAAGAATTACGAAAGAGATATATCGAGCAAGAATGAATGGAGATGTCGGTAGAGGCCGCCCTAGACGGACTTATGTTGACCAAATAGGCAACGTGCTGAAGAAGGGCCAAATTAAAAGTACCCGTAACCGGCGAGTGTGTATGAAAAGATTGATGAATGTGAAAGAAGCGAAAGAGGTTTGTTTGAATCGAAGCATTTTACGGTCCATTGTTTCTGCCTACCCTAATGGGAGACAGGCGTGACAGATATGTATGTATGTATGTTATTGTGATTCATCTATATGACATTTATTAGATATACAATTAGGATTGTATTTTACAAAAAAACTACTCCCATTGTAGCAAAACCAGTAAAAAAACTAAATTACTGAATCGATTTTGATAATTTTTTTTATATCACTGAGGTGGCAAACAAGCATACGGCCCGTCTGATGGTATGCGGTTACCGTAGCCTTTGAACACCTGCAATACCAGAGCTATTACGCGCGCGTTGCCGACCCTGAAGAAACCTCTTTACCCCCCTTTTAAAGAACCGTTTTACAACTGACAGAGTTATGAGATTACGAGTACAAATATAAAAAAAAATACAACCGAATTTAAAACCTTTTTTTATTTGAATTTAGTTGAAAATGTACAAACCGAGTCATTTGTAATAGAGAAATATTAAAACTTCTGTTACTAAAAATAATAAATGAGAACAGAAGCAAAACTGATTTAAAAGATGCAAAGTAAAGAAGCAATAATGTTTGTCTCTTGAAATCGAGAAATGTATTTATAACTTCCATAAAATGTTTATAACATTCCTTAATATATCTTTGCTATTTAATTTTTTTTTTTTTTACTGTACAATATAAAATACATTTAATTATACTTATAAAATCCATTGTCCTGACTGCCTATCTCACACGGCTAAAACTACTAAATCTAAGTTAGTAAATGCTAACTAACTTTGTAATAAACTTGTTCCAAACAACTTAGTTACTTATTAATATAATTAAGTTATTTGGAACATACATTTATATTATAATATAAGCATCCACTAAGAAAGGATTTTCAAAAATTCAAATTTATAGAGTAAACAGAACAACACGCGTGCAAAGCCGTGGGCAACGACTAGTTAAGTAGCCTCTAGAATGGTTTCATTTTAATTTTAACAATACCTTATAATTTTCCCATGTCATTGTACTTCAATTTTAATTATACCATCATAATGACTGATGACTTCAACAGTCCAGATAGTTAATGATGACGGCCTCGCGTCACTTTTTTAATTATCATTTTGATCAACATCTGTTGTAATAATGATAATTTCATTAACGTCAATCGTATCAATTGGGAGCCTCTTTTGTTTCGAACGTGCCTTTATTTTGCCTTTGTAATGAAATATCCATTTAAATTTAATAAATTAATTTAATAACTAGCTATTTGCTCACTACTTCGTGCACGTGAATTACGTAAATAGGAATATCAATTAAATAGGCTACTGGTTATATTTAATAGCTAGAAATTAAGAATAGTAATCATTTAAACTTTCTTTTTAACTCCTCGATTTTATACAAGAATCATCCATACAGAACTGACATCGTCTTTCTTCTTTTCATTTAAGAGTTTCCTCTTGTCGGTGCAACTAATTCATGCATCTTCTTCCAGCCAGCTCTATCCCAGGCCATTTCCTTGATCTCCCTATACGACATGACACCTAGTGTTTCTTTTATCTGTCCCATGTAGTTATTCCTCGGTCTTCCTCTTATCGTCTATAAACTTTAAATTGAAAATAACATTTTCAGAGGTCACGGTGATTGCAAAAGTCCTGTATCGTCGATCGAGAGCTGTACAGAAGATTCCAGACTCCTGCTCAACTACCAAGCATGTCCTGATGTCTACGGCTCAGAAAGTACAGGTAATCTTAATACACAAATATCTTATGTCCTGGGGTTTCTTCACGATAATCTCCGAAACTGCTTAACTGCCTTTCATTCAACCACTCACCTCAATAAGCTGTATAGATTTTTCCAAGAGACTACAATTTTTTTTTATAGAACTTAAAATGGCAAACAAGCTGACGGCCCACCTGATGAAAAGTGGAACCGTCGCCTATAGATATGAACAGTACCATGGACATAACAGAGTATACTGTTTCGTTCCATACGTTGCCATTCCTGAGAACTCAGGTGTTATTCCTCCGTACCCAGTAAATTCACGCCACATCCCACCCTTCAAACCGAAACACAGCCATGCAAACACTACTGCTTCACGGTTGAAACACGAATGGAACAGAGGTACCCAAGCAATCGACTTTTGTACAAAGTCTACCTCTGGTAGAGGTAAAAGGTTTCTTCAGGGACGGTAGCGCGCGCGAAATGCCCCTGACATTGCAGGCGTTCATAGGCTGCAGTAACTGCTTATAATCGGATAGGATCGTATGCTTATTTGCCATCTCAGTGGTATAAAAAAAAAATATTTTAATTAAATTTACTTAAAAACATAAGTTTGCTTTTGTATATTAATTTTAATAACTATGTATCTGTTTTCGTTTACAATAAAGAATTTTTTTTTGTAAATATGTTTTTTGTAAAACTGTTTACTTCAACTTCAGAAATAGGATAGTTTTTAAACAGATAAGAAAAATAAAAAAATAATTTTATCATAAAATACTTTACGCTACAATCTACCAGTCAAGGTAAATTCAGCTTGAAAGTTATTTCATATAAACAACATTTTATATTCATAAGAACAACCTAAAACTTGGTAACAATATTATATTATATATCAAACCTACAAAAAAATAATAGTGAAATATGTACCACATCTTTAAAGTCATTAAAAAAATGGTAGGCCTCCTTTGAAATCGTTCAAAAATAGTAGGTCATCTTTGAAATCGTTCAAAAATGGTAAATCATCTTTAAAATCGTTTAAAAATGATGTCATCGTTGAAATCGTTCAAAAATGGTAGGTCTTTTTTGAATTTGTTAAAAAATTGTAAGTCATCTTTGAATTCGTTCAGAAATGGTAGGTCATCTTAGAATTTGTTAAAAAATTGTAAGTCATCTTTGAATTCGTTCAAAAATGGTAGGTCATCTTTGAAATTCAAAAATCGTAGGTCATTTTTGAAGTCATTAAAAAATGGTACGTCATCTTTGAAGTCGTTCCAAATTGCTAAGGTTTTTCATAATTTTAAATAGTAACCACTAATACTGTTTCATAACCGCATATCTTACTATAAATTAATAAAATTATTCAATACTAGCTATTTGCCCGCTACTTCGTATGCGTGGATTTCAAAAGTGGAAAAAATAATAATAGAGTCCACGTCCAAGTTTTTAAGTTACACCTTCAGAAATACAACTCTCAAAACCACATTAAAAAATAATGCATTAGTTTTTGCTTGATGTCGGAACAAACATAAATATAGACAAGCAGGCAAAGTTTTGACTTCTAATACTTTTATTAAGACCTCTCATATTATTTTTTCTTAAATATCGCCCATATACAAACACTAGTTACAATCTTATTATGTTAGTAGAATTTAAAAATATATATATAAAAAAATACAAAGCAATATTTTAAAAAGCACAGAAAGTGTCAAAAGAGAAAACTTGTCATTAAAAATGCACGTTGTGATTTGGATAATGTTTTGCTCAGTTCTCATTCTGCCGAGACAGCGGAATGGTATGTTGTAGTTAGGAAATTGCTTACAAATAAATTGGGCAACCTTCCAGAGGTGTTCACATCCATCCATTGTTTAGATTTAGCGGATGAAGAATCGAAATAGCTCCAGTTAAGTGGAAGCTCATCATTTGTTTTGCCTTTAACAAGATAATGAAATTAAGGATTCGTTTAAAACTTAATATTCAGTGCCGATTTCAAGGATGATGGTAAATACTTACTTATTTTAATGTAGGAATATCTAATTGAAAAAGTGAAATGATAAATTGCTATTCAGTTTTTGTAACAAAATAAAATTAATTAAGATTACAAAATTGAGATGTTATTGATTTTCCAAATCCTATGAAATTTTTGGGGAAATATTTATTATCTAAGCATCGTTAAAAAAATGATATAAAAATATATATAATGCTTAAAAGGAACTGGTTTGAGCGCAGAACAGAAAGTTTTGGAAGACGATAGGCGAGATTGTTGCCCAAAAATGTGATACACAATATAAAATATTTTTTGTACATGTATTGTTGCCAGCGGGCAACAAGTCGATTCTGAACTAAGATATCGATCTTAGATAGTTCAGAATCGACTTTGAAACTTATTTATTTAATTGGTAAGTTTCATATTGCTTCATTTTCAAACAAATTCAAGAAAAAAAGAATAAAGACCTCATAAGTCCGTCAGTTGTAAACCTATTTGGAAAATTATTTTTTATAAGGCTATACTTGCAGATTGATCCCATAATTTTTTTTTACCAAAATCGATACAGTACATCTATTAAAAGATAAATTTTGACGTCTAGGACAGACTTGGAGCATATATTGCCATTCCTGATGACTAAAATGTTTATGTTTGTATGCTATTGCCTGTTATATACCAAGGTACAATTGTAGACCCCAAATACCGCATTCTATGTATTCAATCGACCGCGTTGAACTCACACCTTGTCAGTTCCAAAGTTCGTTTCTGTTTCCTCCGTTTCAATGAAAACTCCGCCTTTACAAATGTCGGCGTCTATACAAATCTTTTATTTGTGTACTGCGATTGTCTCCACAGCGGGCGGCTCGCAAACTACTGTCTATTTTTGGAGGCAACTCTCCTAAATTACTATTGCGTGCACCGACGCTTTGTCTGAAATATTCAAATGTTTTTAAGATTTCAATACTCTTGTAACAAACGAACAGCCGTCCTTTAGATTAGTCTTGTTGTGGTAAACCATCTACCCAAAGGTAATTTTCTTATTTCGCATTATTGTATACAATTTTTTGTTGTCAAATTCAAAGAGCAAATTCTTTGAATTCGTCCGTAAAAAATGTTTCCCCCGATTTTAGTGCTCTTTACTGATGAAAGTACTCTTCGATCGATTGTGATTTATTAGCAAAATTTTATGAAGTTAATTATTATAATTAAGTTGTTGTATTATTTATTCTTAGATTATATAGATAGAGCGTCGAGCCTCAAAATGGACCAACTTTTATCAGCTAATTGTAAAATTAGCTGACTCGTTTTTTATTGTATTGTATTGTCGTATATACTTACACGCACACAATGTATCTTGACGTATCTATATTTAATTATTTAATAAATAAAATGAGTTTTTGCTCGATAAAAAAGGTTTAAAATTAATAAGATAAAATTAATTTAAAAGTTATAAAAGAATCACTCATAACTATTTATCACACAAAATTATAATGAAATAGTTGACCCGTTACTCGTTGCATTTGGAGATCAAGACACTCTATATAATCTAAATATTTACTATAGTAAGTGGCTTAACAGTTCTTATGTGGCTTATGTATTCCGACTGATAGTTCAAAAATGATAGATTTAAAACTAGCTGGCACCAAAAAATTATTCTCTGGAAAATACTATTAATTCAATAGATCGCTTAGGCTCGTTTATTGTCACACTAGATTCATATTAAAAGTCTAAATTGATATTTAGTGTTTTTATTAAAAAGAAACTTCAATTCTATTTTAGAAGTTCTCAAAAATTAATATTTGTTTTATTCCAATATACCAAATCCTAAATTATTATAATATAATATTACTGAATTGAATAAATTATAGATTCATATAAACTAAAGAAAAGAAACTATCTCATAATTCGGTTTTAGAGTAACATCATAATCATTACCGTAATCCTAGACGTACTTCCTAATTAAAACCTGCTTTTCAAAAATCGGGTACTTCTTCCTCTTCAGAAGACAAAAATTTTGGTTCGAAATCATCGATTTTCATCGAAATAACAAAAAGATAATTAGTAAAATATTTGACACTGAATTTGTCTTTTCTAACGCTTTCAGTGGAAGAACTAGAGTGCCTAGCAACCTGGAAGGAGGGCAGCCTACGATTCTTGGTCGGCAAATTGCATCACAATCACGCAACGAGCAACGAGGATCGATACAGATGCTTCGTCTACGAGAAGACAAATGGTATTGGTAAGACTTAAATCTTTAGCTCTCTCATTATCATCATCACAATAACTCATTAATGCCCCATCACTGGCATGGTCTCAGCTTTATCAGTGGTGATAAATTAATGTTTTCATTAATGGCTGATTTTCAGCAAAAACGACTTCTGTCTAATTAAAGTAAACTTTTTGATTTCGGGTCTTTAAAAAAGTTGATACTCTGTATAACTCTGAACATATTTTATAAAATAATTCCTTTTATATTTGAGGGACATTGATCTTTTTTGGAGACTCGATGTTAAAGGCACAGTTGTAAGGTCCATTGAAGTCGGACAGGAGACGAAATTTCTGAAAATCTTCTTAATAAATTAAGTATATTGTGACTATATGTTATATATCTGGATTAGTTACACACATGCAATCTAAATACCTGGGTTATATTCCACAAGTGTGACTTCTGTCTACTTCCAAAAAACTCTTTTGGTCTCGAGTGTTTAGAAAACTTAAATTCCCCAAAAAGCTTTTCATTAAACGCTTCCTTTTATATTCGTGGACATCGGTTTTTTGGGGTTGGAAGTAATTTGAAAGTACAGTTGAAACTATTCACCGAAGTAGGACAGAGATCGCTCTTGCTTAAATTCACCCATCTATATACGACGAATTCATACAAATAGTATAAAATTCATGTCAAATGTATTTTATCAGGAGTTTTCAGAGCCTGCATGAATATGCATGAGACCGTGAGATGAGTTAGAAAAGTAGATAAAACAAGTGATGTGTGTAAAAATAGAGACCTCTTACCTTGGTTTTCTCTATCTATTCAGAAAATCTTGAATGTAGATGGATATGTAGATAGACAAATACATGTTTATCTTTTTAACTTCAATCTAATTCTAGATGTCAGTCAGAAAATTGCAAATATTATTGGTGACGCTAGTATGTGTAATTATGATAACTATGATGTTATCTGAAAACGTTATGTTTTCATAACGTTTTCAGATCATAAATGATTTAGTATCTAGCCAATAAAAGATTAAAAAGATTAAGGTAAAGACACAGTTTAACTATTTGGATGTCAATATTGTATTGTATGTGTACATTATAAACTAATCAAAAATTTTGCATTCCTGAAAGTCAATCACTAATACCTTCAAAATTAAATTAAATTAGTTCTTCTGTTTCGAAAATCTATTATGTTCGTTTATATACTCGTATATTACCTTTAAGTATATTATATATATTCGTGTGTGTGTGTGTGTGTGTGTGTGCTTGTGTGTGTGTATGAATTTTGAATGTAAGTATACATACATGATTGATTATCATTATATCAGCCGGTAACTGCCCACTGCTGAACATGGGCCTTTCCCATAAAGGGGGTTTTGCTTTAATGATGTTCAAAGAGGAACGCTGCTGCCCATCCCTCGACCATCAAGTTGAATGTTATAAGTTAGTATAATTAGGTAATCATTGTGTAGATACTATTACCATATTGCTTTTTTTCTTCTTTTTTGTACGCCTACACTGCTGGTAATAATAATGCACATGTCTGTCTACTCTTGGTTTGCTAGAAGTAAACTGTTAGAGTTAAGCTTATCTGTTATGCATTTTAATTCAAAATAACTTACAATAATGTAATCTTAAGCTGTGTGGACCCGGCGTAGAATAAGCCACCCCTTCCTTTCCCGTGGGTGTCGTAAGAGCCGACTAAGGGAGGGCGAGGGATGGGCAACAGCTCTTAAAACATTTCTAAACATTTCTGCGGTTGCCAATCCGCCTGTCAAAAGTGGCAACTAATGGCAAAACCCCCTAGGGGGATGCTTATGTTCAACAGTGGACAGTGAAAAGCTGATATGATGATGATGAATGTAATATTTGTGTAGGTATAAACAAATAGTTTCAGTTGCTTACATATAATATTTACAAATAACTTGCAAAATTTGTATTAATATATTAAGTATATACCTAAGTTTTCTGCTATATTTATTTATTTCACTCTTCATTGCACCAGAAACATAAAAATACACAATGACATAAACAATTCAAGTGAAATACAGTAGCATAAATACAGATTAAAATATGTACATAAAAGTACAAAAGGGTACAAATCTCTTATAGACAACCTATGCTTAAAGAAGAACATAGAATAATGTAGTATTCCATATTATTGTTACAGCATCTGGCAGTGGTGCTAAAGAAGGACCAGTATCTCCAGGGGGTGTGGAATATAGAGTGGCGCAGTCAGGGGACGCGACTTGCAATGGACTCTTCAGTGCCACTGAGGGATCCAGGACCATGGCTCTTAAAAGAGGTTTGAATGTTTGAATGTATCCAAAAATCAATAGAACACATCTTTAATCTTTGAGTAAATAAATACCAAAGGTTATTAACCTTATGTGCGTTTACGTCTAGTCAACATGGTGTTCCAAAACAACTATTGTAACGTTTAGTACTTGAAATAACAAAATATATTTTTGACGGACATACAAATTAAGGAGATATCGATCGAATCGATATATATTCGATATGATTACACCACTGCACTACGCGTCGTCTTTCACTTCAATCCCTTATTAGTATTTCATTACGTACAAATTAATTGATGAACTTTGAACACTGATGCTCCTTTCCGCTTTGGAGTTGCTGAAAGAGAACTTTCCTAGAATTAAGCTCGCCTTTGTACATTTGCTTACCACTGTCATATTTCTTTATGTATTATAAGTGTGTATAATAAAGCATAAGCCCTTTATTCATAAAAACGTCAAACATCTCATGAGTCTATTTTAGTTATTGAATGTCTTATCTCTTTCTTTGTTGCTGAATTCCTAATTTGAAAGTGACAAAGCAGTATTATATTTAAAATAAACTTGCAAAAGGTTTTAATTTAATAAATAAGGAGGTAAATAAATAAACTTTGTCATCGTTTAATAGTACTTCTACGTCTAAACTATCTACAATTCCTTTAATTCCAGTATCAGTACGTTTCAACTGTCAATTTCCACCATGGATGACGTTCTCGCATACTTGGCACACATTAGACTTCAGCAGTAACTATACATTCTACCAGAGAAACGCAACATTACGGATCACGAATCAAACTGGAGCCGATATTAAAGTGTACTGCGTCAATGTGAAAGCCAGCTCGCCGAGTGGGAACTCCGTAGCATTAGTAGCGCATTGGCAACACCATTGGTAAATATATGTTTTTTATTAATTTCGACAAAACAAAAAACACTTAGTGAGACGGCATTGTGCAGTCAACTGTTGAGAGTAAATCGTTCTCTTTTGCATTGCGTGCTATAATAATAAAAAAAATATATATAAACATTCATAGTGCTGCGAAACTGCTTCGCGATTTCTATGCAGTTTTATGTTCTTATATACACAACTCTTAGATTATATAAATAAAGCATCGAGCCTCAAAAACGGATCAACTTTTTATCAGCTAATTGTCATATTAGCCGACTCTTTTTGTTTATCAGTGTTCTATATATTTACGCATAAAATGTATGTTGACGTATTATTTAATAAATAAAATTAGTGTTTACGCGTTAAAAAGATGCAGAAATTATAAGACAAAATAAATATAGTAGTTATAAAGGAATCTCATAACTATTTATCACGAAAAATTTTATGAAAAAGTTGGCCCGTTTTTCTCGATTTTTCGAGCATTTCTATGAAGACACTATCTATATAATCTAACACACAGCTGTATGCATACTCTTAGTAGTTATTAATAATCATAATGATGATCCAATTTGATGATCTAGATCCAATAAATCAAATCTAGACGATCCTAACGTAATTCTGTTATATTAAAAAACAAATGAATGTAATAAAAACACTTTAAACGTCCGTTGTTTCACATGGTCTCATTCTAGGTCCCAATTGTTTTGGTTTACATTTGTATTCTTTTATTCCAGTGTGTCACGATATGTTTGCGTGGTGCTATATCGTCGCGATACATATATAGCTGAGCTGCAGCGCGGCTCGCCGACATCCCGGCCTGATGATGCATGTTCACCTCATCACTTCAATGCTGTTACAGCACCTTATGTTACTTTAGTTGGTAAGTTTCTATGAATACCAACTCACAGTCAGTAGTAGAATAGAGAAGTTTTATCATACAATTCAAAGCATTTATTTTAATTAATTAAAAATTCTCCTTAATATGCAATTTAATAGAATTACATAAGATGTCCGAAAAGACACAAAATAAACAAGTTTAATGAATCGACCTTCGTTATTTCTTCTAGTAGTATCTTTATATAATTTCTGACAAGTTTCTTCTTCCTCTATTAATTTATTTCTATCATCATTCACTAATTCCCATAGTTTGTGCAAAATGTTGTCGTAATCTACTTGATGATGCATTACTAACATATTGTCATTTGAAACTTTATTCTTGAGTTGTACCTCTTCAAAAGGAATTCAGCTTATGTAGATTTATATGCATCTTATAAGATTAAACAAGCTGACAGCCTACACGATAGAATGTAGCAATATGTATTTATTTATTCTTTGTTGACCACAACAAAAAAATATATACAAAAGGCGTATTTAATGCTATATAACATTCCCTTCCATTCAACCTAAGGAAGAATAGAAACGTAATTATACGATGAAAAGGAATGAAAATTATTGCCGGTAAATAATAACAGACGTATCTACGAGTATATTAACACATAAAAAAGAATATATATACAAATTCATGAGTTTCGCGGAGAAGGTCTTTGTTCAGCAGTGAACAGTCAACGGCTGATATAATGATGATGAGTTTTACAGAATACTCAGTGATTCTCAAAATACCACTCATATATTCCTGAGAATTAAAATACTATGCCTCCATAACTTCTAATTTTATTGTCATTGCATCTATGGCAAAACATACTAATGCAGTTATACCAATTGACGCAGTCTGGCGTAAAAAGACGGCTTCGTTCTTATATAGAATACGCGGGAGTGGCAACAGTATCCTGAACATGTTTGTAAATAAATTAGATAGTCCTCTCGAAATCAAGAAACAAATGTGAAAAAGAAATTAAAGTATTGACGTAGATTTAAAGTACACTTAAAATGGACTCAAGTTTTCTAAATAAATTAATTAATTAAATTAAATTGTTTGTGAGAATCCCGTCACGTAAATATATTTTTAACTTCATAACTATATCTTAATTCCTGTTACTTTTGTAAATATATTTTATTACTCTTTTTTTTTTTTTAATTTCAGCAAGCAATCCAGAATCAAAGGATTGCCCTTATTCCGGAAAGTACACTGTACAGAACAGCAGGCATCAGAGAAATATCAGATCACTGAGTGAGAAAAAATATAGGAGTAAGCGAGAGAAAGCAATGTTCGAACATAATCGTAGGGTTAATGGGAGTAGGTTGTTCAATTTTAGTGTAAGCAATATGTCGAGTGCTCCGATGCTGAGGAGCAGAAGGCAGGTGGACGGGCCCGAGGTAGCTTGTGTAGTCAACAATTACAACAGACTAGAGGTCGGCTGCAACTCTGTGAAGAACATGGAGTTTTATTCTAATTGTCAGAATAAGGAATTAATTACAGGTGAGCATATATTTCTGTTTACATTTTACAAACTAGATACTTAAATTGAATTATAGTTTGTATATAGTTTGAGAGAGATGGCAAGAGTCTCCAAAAACATGTATGCATCATATGAGAAATGATTATGAAGGCAAATAAAACACCCTTAGCAATATATCAAGCTAATTTGAGAACTCACTCGAATAACTACTGTGTACTAAGGCAATCGAGTACTCAATATAGGAAATTCAGATACATGATACTCGAATACAGGATTCGAGTACTTGCGATAGTCGAATCTACTATGATCAAGTCGTCGCATGTTTGTCGCAAATATTTTAATTCTGTTTCATAGTTTTATGAATTAATTTCTTAATTACCAAAGACAAGAACATTTGTCTTTATTAAAAGTAAGCTTCATAAATCAATAATAAAAAATACCAGAGGGAGACTTTGTACAAAAGTCGTTTGCTTGAATATCTCTGTCCTATTCGTGTTTCTACTGTGAAGCAGGTGTGTTTGCATGGCTGTGTTTCGGTTTGAAGGATGGTTTATGGCAGTGAATTTATAGGTTTCATAGGATTACTGAGTCCTCATGAATAGAGTATCATGGGCGAAACAATATACTTTGTTATGTCCATGGCACTGCTCATGTCTATAGCCGACGGTTACCACTTTTCATCAGATGGGCCGTCAGTTTGATTGTCATTTTAAGTTTCATAACAAAAAAAGATAGTGCACTGCCGTTCAAACACTTAGGAAATTTCAGTGCCCTTTACCTTGAAGGTTGTAGCTCTTACTGTAATAGATAGATAGATAGATAGATACTATTTACTGTTTCCTTTAAAAGATTACAGTAATAAACTTATTATAAATATAAATCTTCAAGAAATGAGCATATTTCTTTTTAAAAGGCCGGCAGCACACCTGCAATGCCGTTGGTGTTGCAGGTGATCATGGGCAGCGGTAGTCACTTATTTTTTATTTAATTATTTATTTATTCATTAGTACAAATATGTGTATATGGCGGACTTAATGCTAAAAGCATTCTCTCCCAGCCAACCATAGGGAAGTGTCAGAATACTCGAATACTTACCATCAGATGAAACGCATGCTCGTTGCGTTGTAAAACAAAAAACAATAACAATCACAATGAGAAAACAATGCGTTGTTGTTGTGATGCATCAGCGTACACGTGCCACGGCGGGTGGTACGAGAACGGCGCGTCGTTCGTGGTGACGACGCCGGTGACGCGCGACAGCACGGCGGCGCGCCGCTACTGCTTCGTGTCGCGCGAGGCTCGCGCCGGCCTCGTGCTCGCGCGCTCCGCCGCCAACTGCGAGCGCGCCGCCGCCGCCGCCGCCGCCGACCACGACCTGCTCTTCGACGCCACGCCCGTGGGTGAGCGACGCCACACACTACACATCTACACTATTTTTTTTTATGGGTAAAAATAGTATGGTAACCCCGCCTGCGCTAACGGGATACGCTGGCGGAGCACCAGTGAAGGGTGATAGATGAGAATGAAAACAGGCCAGTTAGCCCATCATGATGAATTCATCAGGAATTAACCATGATAGTTTCCAGGGAGAACCGCGAGGAGGTCGACCTGGTTGGGTATATTGGTATGGGATTCTCAGTCTCCATTACTAAGAATCCCTTTCCCCCCTCTACACTAATATTATAAAGAGGAAACATATGTATAATTGTGATGAAATGAATTGCCTCACTCTGCGTGTTCTACCGCCTGTACAATGGATTGTGCTCAGAGGAATCGTTCAATATGATGCCCACAGCCACATTCTACCATCGTACGGCTCGCCATCGACAGGGTGTTCGTCCTCATGTCCTACAGCCTCAATGGTCGCGTACTGCACGGTTTCAGAGATGTTTCCTCCCACGAACACTCAGGTTGTGGAATGAGCTCCCTGTCGAGGTTTTCCCAAGAGACTACAGCACGGGGTTCTTCAAAAGGGGGGTAAAGAGGTTTCTTCAAGTCGGCAACGCACCCGTAATACCTCTAGTATTGCAGGTGGTAACCACTTACCATCAGGTGGGCCGTATGCTTGTTTGCCACCTCAGTGGTATAAAAAAATTAAAAAACTCAACTACTTTGCCGATTTCAAAAATTCTTTCATCCATTAAAAAAATGTAACAAACACTCATGTGGATTTCTTATACAATACGTATTTATATCATTTCTTTTCATCTTTCAAAGTGTGGGAATAGTATAGGTTACTACGAATCTAATTTGTGACTGTCTTTCGCTTTTGTCCATAGGAGAATGTCAAGATCAAACAAATCACCAGCCGCCGTTAAGGATACCATCACCATTAACAATTTCAGCAACTATTATAATACTTTTCATAATACCAAGATGATTCGACGCACAAACAAACAATCGTTTTAGATCCCTACCATTGTAATTATAGTATTTAATAGGACTGGAAGAGAATGTAGGAGAAACAAAATTAATTTTTTAAGCGTTCTAGTTAACTTCTACCTGTATTGTTTGTATTGAGTATAATTACGTGCATTGTAGAATGATGCGGGTTTTTTTTTTTAATGGATAATGATAGAATGGTAACCCCGCCTGCGCTATCGGTATACGCTGGCGGGGCACCAGTGAGGGACGATCGGTGAAATGAAAAAGCAGACCAGTTAACCCATCGTGACGAATTCAACGATAAATCAGTCACAATGGTTTCCAACAGGAACCGCGTGGAGGTCGACCTGATAGCCTATATTAATAGCAATGATAACTAATCTCCCCTTTGATAACAATTCCTTCCCCCAGAATGACGCGGGTGATTAATTATTAAAGCTATAGATAGTATTTCTATAGTACCCTGAAACCTTAAATTATATAGATAGAGCATCGAGCCTTAAAAAACAGGTCAACTTTTTATCAGCTAATTGTCAAATTAACGACTCGTTTTTTTATTAATGTTCTATATACTTACGCACACAATGTATCTTGATGTGTTTATTTTAATTATTTAATAAATAAAATAAGTTTTTGCGCATTAAAAAGGTGCAGAATTTACAAGACAAAACAAATATAGAAGTTATAAAACAATCTATTTGTCACGCAATTTGTTTAAAAAAGTTGATCCCCTTTTCCCGAAGCATTTGTATGGAGACACTCTATCTAAATAATAATTCCAATATTAGTACACACTAGTCAGATACCAATGAGAGATTATTATTTGGTTCTTAAAAATGCCGTATTAAGATTTCTTAAAGGTCGAAAAGGCGCGCGTGAATCCCTACATTTTTTTTTTAGTACGTTTGTTCAGTAGTGGAACAGGCTAATGTCGGAGACCATGCTGCCTAGTCTTCAATATGATAATTTGTCTGGAATTTTTAAAGTGACATCCCTAGAGTTACAAGCATCCATAAACTACGGTAAACCCGTTTTCCATCAGACGGTGCCTGTACTTGTTTAGTATAAAAGAGAAACATACAATTACCTGAATCATGTTATAATGCACGTACTAATGGTGGCGCTAGTATCGCTATTATAATATAATTATTTATCTACCTATATATTTTTTTCATCCATTCAAAAAAGTTTCACGATTCTACTATATTTTTACTGTATATTACGGGATATTTTGGAAAACTGTATATCGAAATTTTTGTCCAAAGAGTCCACACTCATATTTATTTTATATCATTTTGTCAACATTGACATTTTTTTTAATTTAATGTAATTTTAATAATTATATACAGATGTCAAGTTCTTAATACATATTACCTTCAATTTCACTACCAACATTTTCATACATTTTTATTTTTTTTAAATAACTTTTTCTAAGTTAATAAAATCTTCTTCGTTTTGAGTACTTGTTAACTCTGTCATGTAAAAAAAGTAAAAGTATGTCATAGATAAAATAAACACATTCATAATAAATATATCATAGATAGCAAGAATCGCCTAAATACATATATAAAGCAAGCTAGCAAAAAGTTATTTAAGCTTTTTGTATCATACCTACATATTTCTATTAAGGATATTTTAATTTTATTTATTTATACAAATTAAACTGTACCTAATGAGTCAGTCGTTGGTTGATCAATGCAATTTACACAACTACTAACTTCCGCGGTGATACCCACGTTAGAATCTTAGAATATAACCTACTCATGTACCAAATATGTACCAAATTTCATTCAAATCCATTCGCTGTCAAAGCGTGAGTGACTAACAAATATATAAACATCAAAACATTTTTACAACTTTCACATTTATGATACATATTAGGTAGAAAAATAGATACATTTTAATCTTCATGCATACTTAGTCCTCTAATGGGCTCCAAGTGACTAATGCTTACTTTCTTAAAGTAAAATAATTCAATTATCTTTGACAATAGACGAGTCTAACTTGGCCTCACTTCGGAACGGAGTGTAGTATGTACACTCCTTATTAAAGAATTAATGAAAAAAAAACATTACTAAATATTAAATTACTTAAAAAAATATGTATTTAGAGCAATCTGATGAAAAGCTGATCAACCAATGATTTTTATTTAAATACATCTTTCGGACATTTAAATTTTTTACTGTATCTTTTGTATAAATTACGGTTAAAGCTAAAATAAGTATAGTTATATTGCAATAGAATTTACATAGATTTTATAATAAATCACAAAGAATCTCTTCAGCCTTTGTACAATACATAATTATACAATTATTAAAAAATATAGCATTAGCTAGATAATGACCGCTACTGTAAGTTTGTATACATAAATAAAATCTCTATTCAGCCCGAGGCTTAGCTTTTCCCGTAATATATACATATAAAGTGATTGTATATTTTAGATAATGAAAATGATATATATATAAGCACAATTAGGTATCACAGAAATCAGGTGATAATTTCCTATAACAGCAAACACTGCGCGAACTTAATTACGATTGCTTAAAATAAAAATAAAGTAATTTTAGTTCTTAAATCGCTCAACAGAGGCAGCACCTATGATAGCTTACTAATCACTTTTAAATTATAAAATAATGAAGATTGACAGAAAATATCAAGCCATTTTCGGCTATCACAATTGTTTGCTATTATAGGATATGCCTTTAAGTACACAATTTGTATTTAGATACCTACTACTTCTAAAGGCGCTTGTTTAAGATTAATTTTGGAATATAATAAATAATTTATTATAATAATTAAACTTTGATTGCTACATTAAATTCTAATGTGCTCTACGAAATCTTTAATAATTGTCGAATTTATATGTATTAATTACTGATCGAATATAAATTACCTATTACATAGTAAAGAGTTTCTTATACATGTCAATAAGCAATACGACGGTTACTATAAAAGTATTAAAAAGACAATAGCACTTTCATTTTTTGTTGGGGTGTAAATAAAATTTTTGTTAACAAACTTAAAAAATTGTAGTCAAAATCTGTGTTATTTACTGCTTTTGCCAAAAACATAAGAATAAATAAAAGACATAACGTAGGACTAAACAGACTAAATAGACTTGATTAATTTTAACCTTTTTAAGATGCCCACATCACGCAATTTTTGGTTTAGAAAATATCACCAATTAAACTTAAACAAGCGTTTTAAGATTTTATACTTGTAATATGTCCAACACTCCAACGAATTCGTGTTTTCTTAAAAAAAAATAATACTTGATAATCTAAAGATTTTTATAAATAACACGTAGAGACTAAAATATAATAAATAGTTAAGGAATCATTAAAAATTATATACATTATTTCAATCCAAATACTAAAATTGTTTTTATATACAAAAAAAAATCAACAGTCGATAAAAAACAATTTTATGTCATCTATACCCTCTATACCTATACAAATATTTGGATGCATATGTGTATTAGTAAAAAAAAAAAACATATTTTATTTTAACACTTTGGACGTTCGCCAAAGTCACAATAAATGAAAAAAAAAAAAAAACTTTGGACGTGTATTAGGAAAATTTTCTATATGTTTATTTCTTCCGAATTTTATTTTAATACTTTGGATGTGAAAATGTGATGAAATAGATCAATAGTATTAAGGTGAAACATTTCAAATAGTTGAAAATGGTTGATAGAGTCGATGCGGATGGTTGTGAATAATATTTCTTGTTGCAACGGTTTTATAGAAGTTTCGAGACTATTTAGATGAAAATAATACAATAATCTCCAACCAATGTTCTTCAACTGTTCTTCGTATAATTATTTATATGTATATCCGACGATTAAACTAACTATAGGTATCAACAACTTATAATGCTAAATTTTTTATAATTTCAATATCTTTTTTTTTTATAAATAATTTAATATTTTAAGTAATGTATATTCATTGTTACAAACTATGTATACATTAATTTTATAATCTAAGATTAATTTATATTAATAATATAATGGATCCGAAAGATAATTTACTTCATTTTATAGTAAAATCATCTACTGTTTTGTCTCATGGATCGCTTAATATTATACTTATTAATTATAATAATTCTTTAGTACACAAAAATACAAAAGAAGCTTAGTAATATGTACAAAATTATTGTAACACGTTATAATAGTTAGAATAATTTAGCTATATTTTTATGTTATACCTAATTAATATCTTTACTGAAAAAATAGTACATATATATAGGTGCCTAAAACTCTTGCATAATTAATTGACACTGTTTCTTATTTATCTTTTACTTTTTAGTGACTTATTTGTGTATATTTTGATTTGTAGATCTTATTTTAACAAATAACTCCCGATAATAACAGCACGAGAAATTGTTACAAACGCACCATTTGATGGTCGCTTCTATAAAACTAGTTATTTGTTACAACTGTTTTCGCGGGAATTCAACGTTTTCCCTAATCAAGCAATACTAATACGAATAAGGTTAGTTAAGAGTGAATTTAGATAAGTAAAAAACGAATACTCATTTTGAGATCAATGTATGTATGTAGGTAAGATCAAATTAGATATAAAATCGCGACAGCAATAATATATTTGTATTTATAGCTATTGAGCGTTAAATTTTTAATAGTTATTAGACAGTTATTAATAATGAAGCTAGCGATTGTTATTTTATAATGTAACAGAGATTATTTCTTTGTGGAAACGGAACTTATGTGGAAATCAATTTGGTTAATCGGTTTTTTCCGATGATTTCCGTGAAAAAAAAATACTACATCGTTATGTTTCCATTGTGTGATATAGATACATTAACTAATTAAGTACATAGTCGTCAGCATGGATTATAATAAACAGCGAAATTTAAAATGGTATTTTATTTATTTGAACTGAAGACATTTTATACGACTTGCAATGTCCGACAAGTTGATGATTGTAACCCTCACCTATAGACATGAGCAGTGGGTACCATGTATATCATAAAATCTACTGTAGACCATAGACTAAGTATAATATACAAAGGTGTAGACAGTGAAGCTCATAGTGTTTCTCAAGTAAGCCATTCCTAAGGACTATAGTTTTATACTTCGGTACCTTATAATTTCATGGCCGTATCCTATACCTTAAACTAGTATACAGTAATACAGCTACCTTCGACCACATACCTCGAAAACTAATTAACCGATGAGAAAGAAAATTCTACAGGACGTACAACGTACCAAACACAATAAAATCCTCTGACATGGAATATTTCACATCTCTTAACTGAAATTTCATATGCTACGCCAAATCATACCTCATTCCGGATACATCGCTTTACATAGAATACTACAAATTGCTGTAAATGAAATAGCGATTCGCTAATTTACTAATGACTAATTATTCGATTGAGCAATGATTCGAATAATTTATTTATTTTTTACAAATAACTGAACTAGTAATTCTATGTATTCGACTACTAATTGTATTCATTCGACTACAAATTTTATTCATGATTATGAATAAAAGTTGTATTTGATTTTAGCGATTAGTAGAAGCAGTATACTGCTAAAATTATTCATTAGTAGGTGTTCATATACGAGTCGGTGCAAATGTAGTCGACTATTGGAATAATGAGTTTTTGTTAATTTTTAGTATATCTATTAAAAATTTGCAATTGTTGATACTTATCAGCTCTCAAAAAAAAAAAAAAAAAATTATTTAAATTAAAAAATTAAAAAAAAAATATTTATTTAAATTTCTGTCTTGCACTACTACTGCCCACTCACTACTTCCTATGCCACTGCGTTAGGTTGACTGGAAGAAATCTCTTTTAGAGATAAGTTCGCCTTTGCTAACATTTTTATTAACTTATTGTTGTTACTGTATGTTTTTGTGCAATAAAGAATATATAAAAAAACCATCACTGCTAAAGTAGTGGATACTGGGAAAGGATATTTTCCGTAATCAGTGGTTTAGATCAAATTACTAATGAGTAAAATCATTCGAATACAAAAATTTGTATATTACTAATTTAATTTTAATTACTAATTATGTATTCGAATAACAAATTCATATATATTCGCTACACCGCTAAAATTAAATCGCAGATAATCGCTGCGTTCAAATTTATTTGTAATCATTGGCAGCGTTCGTTTAGCAATGAAGTAAAATCGTTACTTTCTATCTAACTTACACTTTACGGTAATGTCTTTCAAAGTTTTTTTTTTTTGTAATTTTCTTAGATTATAGCAATTTTATGTTCATTCATATTGTAATTTTTTGATTCTTTAACAATTATTAGCCTGGTAAATATAAAATTACTACTAGGAATGTAAAACCGTGTCTATTTTCTGTTGCTTTTTTTAAACACGATGTCATTTAATACAATAAAACTGCTATATAAAAATTCTAATATAATCAGCCAATTATCGGCTGAAGTGTTAATTTTTAAACATAAGTATTAAAATGTTTAACTCCGTGGCAGCGTGTACGAAAACCTGAAAATATACATAAAAAATATATAAATAAAAATTATGTGTATTTTGCTTGATAAAATTCTCTAAATACAAAAATTAATACATTTTACAAGTGCGTTATCAACATAAAATTAGGTTATAACATTATTTTTTACAACAAGTGGAATCAAATATAAATTTAAAATTATGTTCTTTCAGATGTTAATTTATATTGGCAATGTGTAAATTATTTGGAATATATTATATAACAGAAATAGATTTATTTTCTTCCCGTATATTAATTAAAAAAAACCTGATTGCTGCGCCTAAATTATATTGTTACGTTATAATGAACACAAACTATCATAAACTAGATGCTCTTTACTTTTAAAATTATGTGAACGCATCGTTAACAATATTGCCAATATCAAAATACTCAAACCGCGCTTTTGCCAACCTTGCCGTCAGTTATGTCATGTAGTTGATGTTGCTTGGCTTATTGCTTGCTTTCTTTACTTTGCTTGTTGTACGCGCGTCGTTGGTCAATTGGATTGTTTATCTGAAAGAACACTTACCGCATAATAAACAAAATCGACAATCTACCTCAAGTGCTTGTAATAAAACGAAAGAAACTCAAAGCTGTGCCACAAAAACGAGGATGTTTAGAAATATGTGAAAGTGACAGTCAGGGATCGACTTAGTTTTTTGTGTGATTATAATGTTATTTCACATATTTTCAAGTACCGCCAGTTAGTATTGTTGTGCGAACATTAGAAATGCTGCAATTGGGGTATCTTTCGTGTATAGAGGACACTTGATCGCGGGACACTATGTTCGATGCGGGATAGACGTGGAGTACACTGATCATCCTATTCGGCTATAATGCAACACGACTATTTGCCGGACGGGACCAGGAGCAGGTTCGAGAGGCGTAAGCCAACTAAAGTGCTCAAAATAGCAGAGAGTTTCACAAATTTGGACGAGACGGCGAAGGCTGGACGATATGTTCGCGGTCCACATTCTAACGTTGGGAGAAGATACAGGGAGGAGAATGGCGCCAGAACGAGGCGTGGGATGTGTTGTGATGAGGAGTGTGATAAGGAGTCAAGTGTTAGTGAGGATTGTGAAAGACTTGGTGACAGAAGAGTGACGGGTTCCTCGTGCACTGCGCTCAGGACGGCGGTGGCCGCGTTGTATCCCTTTGACGATTTTGTCCTCGAGAAAATCGGGACCGGATTCTTCTCCGAAGTTTTCAAAGTAAGTGCCCTTAACTCATTCCTTACTGCATATCAATGCATTAAGATGTTGTAATTATATGAAAAGTTACATGATAGGTCAGTGAGCAACGTTAGAATGGATTTTATAAATACCTACAATGTTTTTTTTTTATTTTCCCACATTTATTTTATCACCTTACTTCAACCAACTTATAAGTACTTACCAATACTTATACTTAATACTTATACTTACCAACTTATCTATCAATGCAAATATTTTGTCAATACTATTTAGACTTACTAAATCCTAGTAGTGTTCTAGAAATTGGAAGCATTAGTATTTCATTACTATTTTTTATTAGTTACCTCCATCAATTAATTTTAGATTGCAACTTAATAAAATTAATTTAGTTTACCCTCATTAATTAATATTATTAAATTGCAGTTTACCCTAAATTCAAACCATTCTTTATATACCTACTCTTAAGTATTATTAGTTAAAAAGAAGCTGCTATTTATAAACAATCTGTTTAGTGCAGTTTTTTAACAACCTAGTATTAAAAAAGTAAATTTAATAAAATATATGAATTATACAAGTTATAAATAACTTTATAAATAATAAAAACTATTGACTATCTAGAGTTAAACTAAATACAAGTATTTAAAATTCTTAATACCATGTAATTATTATAACAAAGTTCCTTCAATATATCTTATTGATAGTTTTTATTTTGGTAAATATTAAAATTATTTTTCAGTTTCTATTGTAACTATACCAATGTTTGTTTATATATATGTATGTGTATGTATGATGGAAATTTTACAAACATACTTTTGTCATTTCCAACAATTGTTTGAACTTTATCCAAAAGTCTTCTTCAGGATGAGTGTGATGCTTTGTATCACAGTATCTCATCTCATGCAAAATGACAAACATAGTAAGTTAATAAAATTCCCAATTTACATATATAGATATAAACATTCTTAAAAATGAATATATATTTTAAAAGCAATAATATCTGTTTACCTTTTGTTAGCAAAAACCTTCATGTCAATGCTATATTGGTAACCATTCCAGTCCAAATGACATCTGTGTCCACTTTGATGTTGATTCTTTTGGAGAGACTACCTGCAATTTATCATAGTTTTCTTTAAATGGAATATCCCATGTTTTTATATATACCTATTTTAAATTAATATAATCATCAATTGATGAGTAATTTTATTACATTCTACCTTGATAGTCTGTGGTTAAATTAATCCCTAATACATAAATATTTCAACATATATATTAAATATATCTTTGTAATTGGAGTAGCATGTATGAAAAGATTGATGAATTTGGAAGAAGCGAAAGAGGTTTGTTTGAATCGCATCATTTGGCGTTCAATTGTTTCTGCCTACCCTAATGGGAGACAGGTATATATATATATATATATATATATATATATATATATATATATATATATATATATTTCAAATGTCTATTAAATGTATCTTTGCTTTTGGAGTATTTTAGTTTAAAAAGTAAATAACTTTTACTGATAAGGCCATTATTTTCTCAGTGTAATTGTCTCTTTTAATTTCTATCACGGGTAGTTTTCTGCTGTAGCCCATTGGAAGGGAGCAATTAAGGGTATCCTTCTATTTATTAATTAAAATCCATTTGCAGGAGGGTTTATTTTTTATGACCGAGAGGTTAATTTTATTGCCTGGGATTTGATTATTTAAACCATATTTTGTTTAGTGTCAAATGGTGGAGCAGGCAGGACAAGATGAACTATCTGTCTCCCACAAATGCAGTTGTGTTTCTCTTCAAATATAGTCTAAGGTTCCCTTAAAATTTCAATAAAAATACATAAGTAATTATTATAACAGCTGACCTGGGCTTGAAACTGGTTATGTCACCTTCATTTCATCTATAGTAATTGATGAAAGTGGAAAACTCCAACTAGGCATCATTTGCTACAAAAGGCAACCGTCTTGTACCATTCTATTACATTAATCATCATATCAGCTGTTAACTGTCCACTGCTGAACATAGGCTACTCCTATCAGGAGGTTTATGTCCATAGTTGCCACGCTTGGTAGACAGGTTAGCAATCACAATTCATTTTGGTGATGTTTTAATAGTGACGTTGCTGCCCATCCATCGGCTATTAAGTTAACTTTATTGCCTCTTACAACACTTACTGGAAAGGAAGGCTGACCTATTCTACATGGAGACCATACAGCAGTACCAGTAATAATTTACTGTCATATACCACCTTTCAAATCAGAGCCATGCAAGCACAATATGTTAATTCTATAACATTAAGTATCTTTATTATACAACTATGTTATTAAACAATAGCACTGTTATGTTATAAGCAAACGTGTCTTTACAACACAATTAGACAATTAAATAAGATTAATTACCTCTGTTATCATATTTGGCACATGAGCATGTTTACCTATTTTCTAAAGCACCTCAGTGACACACAATTTCACTGTCTGGCATTTTGCCTAAGATAATAGCACTACAGCAGTGGTTTCTAGATTTTGAGACCACAGATTATGGAATGTTTTCTTTTTAAACAACTTGAAAAAGGAAGAGGTTTTCATTTTCATTCGACTTCAAAAGAAGGTTTTTTTTTTTAATGGTTGATAATGTAATGGTAACCCCACCCGCGCTATTGGTATACACCGGCGGGGCACAGGTGAAGGATGATGGGTGAGGATGAAGTAGGTCAGTTAGCCCATCGTGACGAATTTAACAAGAATTGTTCATAATTGTTTTTAGGGGAACCCACGTGGAGGTCGACCTAATAGGGCTTATTGTTAGCAATGGGGCTGTCAAACTCCATTGCTAACAACCCCTTTTCCCCCCAAAAAGAAAGAGGTTATCGATTCGGTTGCATTTTTTGTTTATATTAAAAACTAAATACAAGTGCTTTTTATAATCCTAGATGATGATGATAGTAATGATATCCGCCGTACTGTCCACTGCTGAACTTCCACTGCTGAACCTCCTCCTTGGGTGGTTTTGCCAATAATTACCACGCTTGACAGGCAGGTTAGTAACCGCAGTTAGGATTTGGTGATGTTTTAAAGGGGATACTGTTACCATTTCTCTACTATTAAATTCCCGTATTAGCCTCTTACGATACATACAGAAAAGGAAGAGGTGGCCGGGACCACCTAGTATTATAAATATACCACCTAACATTATAAATGTTAAAGTGAGTTTTTTAGTTAATTTATAACTTGTTGACGGCTTAACGAATACTATGAAATTTGGATACACATATTATATGGAATGAAGACGGCTTTTACTTTTTTCCCAGTCGGTAAATTTTGACATTTTGGAATTTTTTTTTGGTTATATTAGGAGCATGTTGTTTAAAAAAATTGTTGTTGCAGAATTAATATTATATGTAACAATAAATATTGTAATCATATACATGTATAAGATGGTTGGGTAATTGAAGAAAATGTACGTGACATTTCTTTCACAAGGTATTTGATAACGGCAACCTTGAACTAATAAATCCTCTTTACATATTAGTGATAATAAGTCAATTTAAATAAACCTTGAAGAGCAGAACTGATAATGATAAATAATATAAGTGTTGAATTAAAATTTTAGACGGTCTATAGCCGTCATATTTATATTCTTGTAATGTAGTCGACAAAAAAATCTCACAGTATTTAAAATGGCCAACAATCTGACGGTCCACCTGATAAAAAGAATTACCGTTATCTATAGACTTGAACAACATTATGGGCAATCACAGAATATAATGCAATGCCTATGGGGCCAGCCTGATGAACAATCACAGCGATTTTTTTTTATACAACTTAGAATGGCAAACAAGCTGAAGGCCCACCTGATGGAAAGTGGTAACCGTCGCCTATAGACATGAGTAGTACCATGGACATAACAGAGTATACTGTTTCGCCTATGATACCCCCCATGCATTGCCATTCCTGAGGACTCAGGTGTTACTCCTCTGTACCCAGTAAATTAACGCCATATTCCATCCTTCGAAACACAGCCATGCAAACACAAAACGGTTGATGAATCAGCAATCGACTTTTGTACAAAGTCTCTCTCTACTATATGATTAAAGTTTAATGTATTTTCAATCTACTTTTAAATGAAGGAGATTCAGACCCAAAAAAATTATGAACCAGCACGATGGTTTCCAGGGGGACCACGTGGAAGTCGACCTGACAGGGTATATTGCTAGCAACTGGTAGTCCCCATTACTAACAATTAGGTTTTGGTGATGTTTTAAGAGGGACGCTCCTGCCTACCTCTCGACCATTAAATTCCCTTAGTCGCTTTTTACAACACTCACGGGAAAACAAAGTGTAACCCATTCTTTGCCGGGATCACACGAAGTAACAAAAAATATAGTCAATTACAAATTCTAAAAACAAATATGTTTTTGACTTCTATTGCTATGTTTAATACTTAAATTATGAAGAACGCTCACATATTTTTTTTAAATAACTACATATTTTTTAACTCACATCATTTATTTTTAGTTCTATGTATAGAAACAATTATGTTACTTGACTAAACGGTATACCGCGGCTTCACTCGTAGTCTTTATGGTGATGATGACATGATGGTATTTCCTTTTTTTAAGGAGTGACCTGTCAAATTAAAAAGATTTTTTGAAACCCGACTGAGAGTTCCATGGAGTAGCGCGTTCAAAAAAAAACTCTTATTCTTTGTAATTAATATTATTATTATTTGTAATGTAGATGTCATGATTTTTAATCATTATGTATTCGATCAATGGGATCAAACTGAAATCACACTGAATAGAGTAGACGTCAAGTGGACGTCACATTACCTTATATTTGACATTTAATCGATGTGAACCCGATTTGATTACGTTAAAAGTCATCTCGCTATTTTGGGACGTAGTAAAATAATAATATTAAAGATTTTCTTTCGCAGAAAAACCAATGTCAATCAGAAGTAAACATTTTCCATTAAAATTAATTATTGACATTGATTTGTTAAAAATATTGCATAATATACTA